TGATGCATACGGGTCATGTAACCAGATCATCATTTCAGTAAATTAAATTCCAGCACTTACAGAATTATGGGATGTCAGAGGAACATTCTACTTTACCTGGAAGCTGAAGGTATATAAATCTGAACTAGAAAGACTATGAAATTTTTTCAGTTGGATGAGTGATGAAGTCCTTGAAACCTTATGAAAAGCTTTGGTACCATAGTAGTAAACATTTTTAGACTGGTAAGAATGTATTTCTAAGAAAATGTGTCCTAACCGAACAGTAAATTGCAAGTTTGGGACAGTAATTAATAACGATATTCTACTGTTTGTGTTACAGAGGAAATCAAACCAGACATTCACCATGGTCTATATTATCACTATACAAAAAAATGTGCAGTGTAGGGGTTTGATCCAAAGCTCCTAAAATCCCAGTAGATATAATTGGGCTTTAGGTACGATTGTGAAGGTAAGTTCAAGACTGAATCCAGAAACAGTCAAACATTATCAAAACGTGTCAACACTATGCATCGCATTTATATTTCAACACAATTATTCACCCTGTAGATCTATCCATGTAAGCTCAAGAACCAATTTTATCTCAAACTGAATGTTTCTTTCATACTCACTCATACAAATTCTTCAGTGGTGAAGTTAAAATAGCCAGCACAGAGAGCAGACTATTGCAGTGACTATGTATTTCATAGATCTTGAGATCTCTGTCTTCATGTGGATTCAGAAACTCCTGTACTGAGCTGCAAACTGACCAGAGCATATCTTCAGTGGACATCAAAATTGCTGCAATATCAATTCTGCAGGGAAAAAAAACGTGAAAATAGCATTACTTACGACATCAGGACAGTGGTAAAACTCCGTTAAATAGAGCTTTCCTCTGACAACATAAAATACCTAAATCATAGCAAGGACTTCAAACTCTCAGCTCACACAGAATGTTATCTCTGCTGAGTGTCTCTCATCTCCTACAAAGGATTAGCTCCTAAGTTTTTAACTTGCATGGCTGCCATGGACTATGTCGCTTCCAAAATCTAAAAAATGGAACCTATACATGCAGGAAAGATATATAGCACAGGGGCAGGATGACAAATACACCATTTTCTTCAGTCAAACAAGACATTGGATAGAAAGAGAAAGGACAGAGTTAGGGCTAGCTTCCACCTGGAGACACCTGTTTTAGTATTTCTTAAAGAGACCCTCCTCTCTGGCAAAAAGAACCGCAACAAGAAGAACTTCCAGCTTCATACTTCCTAAAATGACAGGAGAAGGAATAGCCTCTTCGTCCCCTCTCTTTCTACACCACTGTCTTCATTCTGGCAAATCTTTTGATGTGACCTCATAGTTCATTCACTTGAAAAGCCCTACGAAAACTCCAATTCTACTGGAACACACAGAGTTTTCTTCATGAATCAATGGCTTGATTTCTAATCCTGCCATTTCTGCCCACATTTTTGGTGCACCAGCACTCCTCAACGCACTGTTCATCATGAGGCTTTCAAACCAATCAAGCAGTTTATGGAACAATTTCACCAAGATTTCAAAAGAGGTCTTTGATGCTGCCCAGTTTAGTACATGACTATTAACTATACTTTAAGATACAAGCTATATTGAATTAAAATGAACATCAAAATATATAAGTTGTGTATATCCCCTTTGCTGTGTTCATTAACATTTAAATACAAATCAAAGCAGTGTGTAACAGAAAACTAAGATTTACTTATTTTATCCATTAAAAGTGTGCATTAAGTATACAACCATTACCTGATTTGTGGTGTTCTCTTGTAACTGGGGCAAGCCTGACAATATCTGGAGGACAGCATAGCCAAAGATTGCTCTAGTACATCTGTAAGAATCTCCTGGGCTGTCTTGGGAGGTAGAATAGTCCATAGATCATGATGAAGACCACAGCAGAAGTAATGCCACATCTGGACAGAGAATGAGCATCTTTCCCCCTAGCAAAACCACCACACGTTAAATAATAAAAACACACCTTCCAAAATGTCTATTTAGTTGCTGTATGTTTAATTATTCAATCTGAAAGGGAACAGCTGAAGAGTTTCAGGCACATGATGACCTAAAAATGGTACTTGACAAGATGCGAAACACCTTTAATAGCAAGGAAACACATGATCCATTTCAGTTACAAAACTAGATTTCTGCCACAAAACCAAACCACAGCGTTCAACCTCCTACATCGTTAGTTAATCTATTCTCAAAACTCACAGTTTTCTAAGTCTATTTTAAAAACATATACTGTATTTTGTTCTCACTAGAATAGTCAGATGAATTTAATTTAAAGTTTCTTGGTCCTCAAAGGAAAATAATTATTTAAATTACTTAAACATATGTATTTCCTCAGATACATAATTTCCACACATAACCATGATTGTGAAACTTTGGTTATAAATAATGGATATGCAATAGAAGTAGAAAAAAATAACAACTGACCAATTGAATTGATAATAAGAGATGTCCAAAATTTTTTAGCAAGTTTTTTTTTTTTCCTTTTGTAATGGTAACTCATTGAAACTAAAAATTTTTTGGGAAGGAATCAACATTGGTATTAATATTTCATTATCTATACAGAACCACACAAATACAACACAGAGATAAATACAGCGGAGTCAAAATCACAGTGGTTAATCCATAATATCTCTAAGAAGTAAATAGTTCAGCTCACATTTAGATATTTTAACTAATACATACTCAGCAAATAGCACTATGATGAAGCTGTATCAGAACAAAGGCTTGAATCTTCACTTTCAACATTCCAGTGGTGTTGGGAAATATCTTAAGAATTTGTTGATATTTTAGCATTATCAGAAATACAAAACAACCCCACGATTTTTAAAACTCTGTAGGAGTTTGACAGGCATTCTCTAATAATAATAAAAAACCAAAATAATCTAGCTTCTTTTTAAACACATTAGCAGGTTATTGGAAGTTGTCATTATGCAGTATTTCTCTGTCATAATATTTGAAGTGTATTTTGTATTAAAACATAATAAATTAAGACAAAGATCAAAAGTACCAAACTTGTGACCATTGTTCTAGTCACTAAATTTATGATTGGCATAGGCATTTCCAAAATCTCATTTAGAAAAAAGAAAAACAAATCATTAAGATGTCAGATTTTCCAAATTTCAATCATGAAACTCATAACTTTGTAACTTTGCATAACTCAAACATTAATACATTTCCGTAAGTCTGAGTTTCCTAGTTACATTACTGTGACCACTCTTGAGTTACATCCCAGTAGAACTTAACCAGAAATAAACCTCTGACCCTACCTTAAAGGCATTTTATTAACATTTGTGTTCTTTGCAAAAAAATTTCAACTGTTAAGAATAAACTTAACAAGCAAAGAAATAATTAGTTTGAATGCCTAAAGGAAGCTAATAGTTTTTGGTCATATCTTTAAGATACAAAACTAAAATTAAAATTTTTCAAAAACCGTGCAGTCGTAACAACCAGAAACAGAATGCAAAACTGACTTTGTAACATAGGGTATTCATTTTTTTAAGTAACTGAATGTTGGCAAGTTTTACTTTTTAACTGTGTAACTACAAACACAAATTGCTTCATTTTCTCTGCTTTATTTAATTTAAAGCAGTAAATAGAATAACACCCCTTCTCTAAGATTGTGCCTCCACTGCAGAAGCAACAGTTTCACTGACAAATTAAAAGAGATTCATCCCCCTTTTTCTGACCTGTTTTTCGATTTGCTGCCATTTATAGACAATTCTACTAGTAAACATCTGCTATTTTCGCAGGCTTCATACAATACAAACAGATGTGAGCTTTTATTTAGCTTATATATCAGGAAACAAGCAGCTGTGCTTTATTACATAAGCCACTCAATATTATCTTTGAACAGACAATTCTTTATTCTTTGACTATTAGAAAACATAAGTTCCCAAAGCTACAGCAGATGTCTGATACACTAAAAGCTGCATTTGAAGACGTCATCCAGAGAGCTGGCCCAGCGGCACGGTGGGTGTTCCCTGCACTCTGCCAGCGAGATCCTGGACCCAGAGAGTTTTCGCTCCCTGGCAGCTTCGACTCTGAGCGCTGAATGGGAACAGTGTCCTTAGAGCTCAGCTCAGAGCTCACATTGCCACAAATTCGCTGCTTGTGTCTCACAAAATCTCTGCTTAACTTTCCTAAAATATATTAAAAATTGTCTGTGGTCTCACAGTGGTTATAATCACAGAATCACAGAATCACAGAATGTTCGGGGTTGGAAGGGACCTCTGGGGGTCACCCAGCCCAACCCCCTGCCCAAGCAGAGTCACCCAGAGCAGGCTGCACAGCACCGTGTCCAGGCGGGTCTTGAATATCTCCAGAGAAGGAGACTCCACAACCTCCCTGGGCAGCCTGTTCCAGTGCTCCGTCACCCTCAGAGGGAAGAAGTTCCTCCTCATGTTCAGACGGAACTTCCTGTGCCTCAGTTTGTGCCCATTGCCCCTTGTCCTGTCACTGGGCACCATTGAAAAGAGCTTGGCCCCATCCTCCTGACACCCACCCTTCAGATATTTGTAGGCATTTATAAGGTCCCCTCGCAGCCTTCTCTTCTTCAGGCTGAACAAGCCCAGTTCCCTCAACCTCTCCTCGTAGTGGAGATGCTCCAGTCCCCTCACCATCCTTGTAGCCCTCCGCTGGACTCTCTCCAGTAGCTCTTCATCTTTCTTGAACTGGGGAGCCCAGAACTGGACACAGTACTCCAGATGAGGCCTCACCAGGGCAGTGTAGAGGGGAAGGAGAACCTCCCTCGTCCTGCTGGCCACACTCTTCTTGATGCACCCCAGGATCCCATTGGCTTTCTTGGCAGCCAGGGCACACTGCTGGCTCATGGTTAACCTGTCGTCCACCAGGACACCCAGGTCCCTCTCCGCAGAGCTGCTCTCCAGCAGGTCCACCCCAAGCCTGTACTGGTGCATGAGGTTGTTCCTCCCCAGGTGCAGGACCCTGCACTTGCCCTTGTTGAACCTCTTCAGGTTCCTCTCTGCCCAGCTTTCCAGCCTATCCAGGTCACGCTGAATGGCAGCACAGCCTTCTGGTGTATCTACCACACCTCCCAGTTTGGTGTCGTCAGCAAACTTGCTGAGGGTACATTCTAACTCTTCATCCAGGTCGTTGATGAAGAAGTTAAACAAGACTGGGCCCAGTACTGACCCCTGGGGGACACCACTTGTCACCAGCCTCCAACTAGACTCAGCGCCGCTGATGACAACCCTCTGAGTTCTGCCATTCAGCCAGTTCTCTATCCACTTCACTGACCACTCATCCAGCCCATACTTCCCAAGCTTCCCTAGGAGGATATCATGGGAGACTGTGTCGAAAGCCTTGCTGAAGTCGAGGTAGACAACATCCACTGCTCTCCCTTCGTCTACCCAGCCAGTCATGTCATCGTAGAAAGCTATCAGATTGGTCAGGCATGATTTCCCCTTGGTGAATCCATGCTGACTACTCCTAATAACCTTCTTTTCCTCCACTTGCTTGATGATGGCCTCCAGAATGAGCTGCTTCATCACCTTTCCCGGGATGGAGGTGAGGCTGACCGGCCTGTAGTTCCCTGGGTCCTCCTTCTTGGCCTTTTTGAAGACTGGAGTGACACTCCAGTCTTCAAAAAGGGCAATAATCTCCGTGTTTACCCTCTAATCATAATTGGTCTTTTGGCTTTTCTTTCAATTCCAGTTCTGACTATTAGATTAGGTGCACATCAGAGGGAGGATGGGTGAGCAGGTACTGATATCGGTTATGAAATTCCAAAAACATCTAAAAAGAGATTATTCTTATGTTAACAATATAGAAAATCCTTTTATAGGATGTAATAACCATTTGCTACCAATCTTGTTCTCCTCAGATGTTATCATTGTACAAACAAACAATTAAATAGATATGGAAACTGCAGCTCTGCATAATCAAACACAGACACTGTCCCCTGCCACTCCCTCCTTTCCCCTTGTCTTTCAGTGGTTTTGTCTTCTTTCTGGACAACTTAGAGATCCAGTCAGTCAAGCAGTTTTATTAGTCAATATGTTAATAGCAGGGAATGGAAAGGAAGGCTATCACGTATTCTTTCCAACAGCACCTGAATGTTCTATACTATTGGGAAAAAAGCAGAGAGTAACTCCATTTGAACCCCGTGTAGTTTGCAATAAAGCATGCAATACAAGAATGACGAAAGAACGGTTTCTTCCTCTTCCTTCTGCCCTACTCATGCACACAAAACCACAGGACAGGAAACGCTTTGCTTACTTTGTGGGATCATAATGGAAAGTATTTTTTTCCTTTATGAAATCGCATTCAGGATTTACACATGAGGACTGAATCTTTCATAGTTGCATGTAATACTCAAAACTAGGGGACAACGGGGAAGGTTCCTGACCTAAATCAGATTCAAGAGCTAGGCTACTCATGAGACAAGCAGTAGCAGAGGCCTAAGTGCAGCTTCTTCTTAAAGAAGCAAGCTCATGATGCTATTGACAGCAGTGGATCCCACCAGAAGCAGAGCAAGGGCTGTGAGTCACTGACTTGCACAAGCACGAGAGCGTGCCCCCATTGAGACAGGGGACCTCACACTACAGCCTGCTCTTGAGGACCGGCAAGGTCTCCTAGTGCCTAGATTCAAGCTTCCCTTGTTGCATGACCAGCATGACTTAGGAGGCAGATCCTCACACTTTCAGCTAAGCTGAGACCTCGGAAGGAGCCACTTCTCTGCTACAAGTTTTGGAAGGATGTTGCCTCAGTAACTAGCAATAGGTCTTAAGCCAATCATCTCTTCCAATTGGGATGCCTACAAGAGCTCAATGGAAGTAGCAGCTTCTCAGCATCATGCCTCCTGAAGACACTCTCAGCAGATCACGGTCCATCCTTGTGTTTTGGTCCACAGCCCAGTAAAAAGAGCAGAGTGATGATGTAAAATTACAAACTTCCCACTGCAAGGCCTGTGAGTGTACAGAGCTGAGATACCAGCTTTCTTCATCCATTTCTACACACATCAGTTCTGATCAGTATTGACAAAACTGTTTAACTAACCCACACTCTCTCTTCTTGAGACAGATATTTCTGACTGGTTTTCTCCGTGGTGAATAGTTATTGGGTCATTAACAAGCAGGACCCAGCACCATATGGACTACAGACAGTGAAGATCATATCACGATTTATCGATTGCCAAAAGCCACTAAACTCCTTACCTTCTTATCAACCCAGGACATCTGGGCTCACATTCAAACAAAAGTAAAATGCTTATTTACTTGTGTTTGAGGGATGGGCATTTTCATAGATGACTCATATTAAGGTCTGCATCCCCTGTCCAGTACAGATTTTTGTCACTGACTCAGCAGCTTTTTATATTTCATCTGCAGAATATATGCATCACACAGAGTCTTCTCTCATGTAAGAATTCTAGAAAATGCTTAACAAAACCACCCTAAATCTCTCACACAGCAAATGATATAAAGAAGGACAGGACTTTGCCTCCAGGAGATCTCAGTTATTATTGATAAAAAAACATATACTACTTTCACTTCATCCTGAAATGGAGTGAAAATAATTTCAAACAGTATATGACAGTTTATGTCTGCATGTAACTGGGATGAAGAAAAAAACCCAGTAAATTAGAAAAATTCACTTAATCCTTAGGGTTTAAGCAGTATCATTAGGATTATAATTTAAGAGCAGACCTGTGACTTCAAAATTCAGGTGAAATGGCACTAGTTATTTCAGATATATATTGTTGAATACTGAAGGTAATTATATTGTCCATCTTTCTGTGTTACATCCTTCACTCACAAGTAGGAAAAAGGGGAACCAATTGAAAATAAAAATCAAAGAATCAGATAAAAAAAATCCATGAGAAAAATATCTGTCATTTTCATACGTCACACTCTCTGTAAGAAGAGTTAAAATAGTGGCATATTCTTTGCTGAGTTCTATATAAATGTCTTGAACTTGATATGCAATATTTTATTAAGCAAATGACACAAACACTCCATGGTACTGATTTATCCCATCTTTAAATGACTGAGTTTTCCTACATCATTTCTACAAAGACATTTGACTGCAGTAGTAGACATTTCAAAACAGTAAATTCCAATAATCTTTATGTAAAAATAAAGCTGATCTTATGCTTCTAATTAGTCAGAGGGCTGGCAACCAGTAAAGCACATTTTCTGGAAGGGAGGCACAGTAAACTTAACCTCGCACCTCATAAAACGCTTTGTAGTCATCCCAGTGGTGGCTCTCAGCATCCTGTAAAATGCTTGTAGCACAAACTCTGACGCAGTAGTCCGTAACTTGGAACTGGAGAACGTTGATGAATTCCTGATATTGTTGGACAGGCACTACGAACAGGGGTCTGTTCAGAGAGAATGATCAAAGAGGGAAAGATTGAAAGGCTGTGCAGTAGGAGGTAACAATCCCCAGTACTGCAAATGGTTTTGATTATTAGGTATCAATCATTCATTTCCTCTCGGTCCTGGAGTATGAACTTGGCATTCACTTTTGAAAAATATCTGGTCCTTGTTTCACAAGTTCTTTAAGGGTATCTCTCATCTATAAATTCTCATTTAACCAAGCCACCGAGAACTGTACTACTTCATCCTATTTTCTGAGGTAAAAGTACATTTGTCATTCAGTTATTGGGAGATTCTGGGTGGAAGTACAATTACATCAGAACTGAGTGTGATAAAGAAAACATAAACACTGAGTCCAGAGATTAATTTCGGTAGGTAGGTACTAAAACTCCTTCATAATACACTTAAGTAGAATTATTGAGCAATATTTTGGCTCAGACTTCCCATTCACATGCTTCATGCAAGAGAGAGTATAAGATCAGAGGGAAAGTAGCTCAACCTTGCATATAACCCCTTAGAATCACACATTCCTTGAAAATTGTGATAGTTCAGGCTTCCCTGCCAAAAGGCCCAGTGTCGTCTACTTTTAAATTACATATGGCCAGAAACACATGGACCAATAAAGAAATTCCTAGTATCTTCAGTCAAAATCTCCTAAAAGCACAGAAAATATAGCTACATTGCCCCCCAGGTCTTAGACTTTATACTGCTACTTCGTATCTTCTCTAATTATTATTCTGCATGCAATGAAAAATAAATTCTAAATCCACACTGGATGTATTTGATCAAATTTCTGAATACAGATGGTGCAAGGAAGAAGTGCAGGAATGTACATTTATACTGTCCTCTAAGATTGCTATATGGTAAATCAGATTTTATGAAAATTCAGCTACTGTAAAGGTTAGAAATTTTCAGAAACAGGCCTTAGCCCTCTATTTATATGAGAGCAGAGTACATTCAGTTCACTGGACAACCCTATTTACTCAAGCTTAATAAATAAAAAATATTGATCTGCAAATCAAATACAGATCTTCAACATAAATAATTTGTTTTGTAATGGCCGCTTTAGATGATCAATAACTTTGATTCAGGTCTTTCCATAAATAGTACACACTGTGTGTGTGCTAAAAAATATTAGGCAATTTGGAAAACTACCACCACGCTGTATCACCAAAACAGAATGAGGTCCTATATTATTTACGCTTGAAATAAAGCATTGTAAGTAAAAGGGACTCACTTTTTGCTCGTTTCTCTCATTAAATTGCTATACATTGTGAGATGCTGAGAGACGTATATTGCTGTGGAGAGGGCAGCATAGAAGTCCTGCAGAGGAGCCTTGGAGGGGACGTCTTTGCTTTTCTCCTCCAGTCTTGCCAGGACAGCTGTTGCCACTTTGCTGCAGGCCTCTACAAAGTTTGCTCTAATTTCCTGAAGAGAATCATCTCTGCATGCCAGAGCCAGTGGAAGCAATGTGTCAAGTTCTTCCATGATGTCAGAACAAAACTGAGAGAAATAAACGTGGCAACAAGTTATTTGTATTCTGACAGCACTGTTTAATTTATACACACTAGGGTCAGATTCTTGAATAATTAAATTGGCACAAAACATAAAAATATTAAATCAGCTTTACAAACATTTCATTCTGTTATACAGGGGAGAAATGTTTATCTACAGTAAATGAATTATTATTTCATTCCTTCTAGCTTTAAAGCTGCATAATATATCCTGGCGGAAAAAAATTAAAAGCATCTTAGCTAGTAATGCCTTCATTTTGTTTATGATTTCATTAGATGTACATTCAAAGCATAAGGTTAATTCCTTGTAAACAAAGATAATTTTCTAGACTAGTTTATTTTGAAAAACATACAAACACATTTCTTCATACTGAATTTGAAAACGAGCTTGTCATCTCTTGGTAAATTCATACATTGATCTCCTTAAAATTATCTCCCAAAAGCTTATGTGTGATATTAAGCAAACATCCATTAACAGCATTCCAAATTTGTGAGAACAGTTGCAAAGCTTACTAAATAAAAAACTTTCAAACACATATTCCCTTAGAAAAACAATTTAATTAATTGTCATAAATGACCTTTCAGCCAAATGAAAGAACTCTAATTTGGCCATATTATTGGTTATGCTGATTAGTTAAATGGCATGTCTAAGGATATGAATACAGAAAATCCCTTTATAGCTATGCTTCAAAGCTTTCAGCATTTTCCCATCGAACCACTTGGTAACAGAGCAGATACTAATCAGAATGTTTTAGAACTTTTTGGATGAAAAAAATAATGCCAGTGAAGTTTAAAAGTTAATTCTTTCAAGTATAGACTGTGGGCTATTGTATAAAGCTCTGTTCAGCCTCATATTGTAACGCCTCTCACTTTCTTCTTAATTCCATTTATATAAGATATAGAATATTAATGGTACTGTAAGTACTTCAAAGTGTAGATGGCAAACAGTCTTGGCATTCTGTCTCCCCTCAAACTTCAGATCTTTTGATACCTGCCTTAGCAATTCGTTTCGGTTGCTCCTCCTGTTGGACTGCTCCGCAGGACTCCCTCATTTGCTGGTTGTTTACAAGACTCATTGCATAGCCTGCAGCTGAAAGCTCTTCTTTCTGCTCATGTTGAAGAATCTTAGCTGAAAAGTCCTCGATTGCTATTGTTATACAGTGAGCCACAGAAGAAGACAGGTCTTTAAATGCATTTCTCCAGCCAAAATTCAGTAAAACAGGCTGAAATACATATTTATATTCAATCAGTCCAAATTCATCATTGAGTGTTATTGTCTGAAACTTCTACCAACATCCATGATTAAATTAAAGGACACCATCACCTTCTGAAATTCATTTTAATAACTTAAAATATAGTCTGCTAGCCTTGAAATCATATTAAAAGCAGTATATATACTCAACAAAAATGAACAGGCATAACAACATTAAATTTGTCATCAAATTTTAAAGAAATAAATTCACAAAAAACCCTGTTTAAACAAGACTGATTTTTAAAAGCCATGCTTTGTCTTCACAGTATTTATGATCTTTAATGGAATCTGTTTAACAAAGTCAAATAAATTTATAACCATTTTCAATAGTCTAATAAGTAATCCAGCAATGGATACCCTGTAATAATTTTCACTGCAAGGTAACAACTGGAAGTTACTAACCATGAATATTAATGGAAAACTTTTAGAGAAGCTGGTTTTAACACAGCCACACCGGATTTCACTTCTCTAGAGCCGGATTTAGCAAAGATTAAAATGTTTAAGTAGAGATTTCTAGTTTTAGCCAAGGCTGGATTTTACCATGGTTTACATCAGTTCCCTGCCTTCTATAAACAGAGACTTCTGAAGTTATCTGAAGCACAACAGTTGCGAGAAGTAGACACAGTAGAACATCATTACTTTCCCGCTAATCTTGCTTTGCATTGCTCATATGACACACAGCTGGCTTAAGCCTTACCAGAAGTGGCCAAATGAGAATTGCACCACTTTAAGAGAAGTATTTTACTGATGTAAGATGTACAGTAAAGATCCCCATTACGAGGGCATAGTAGGAGAAAAGGATTCCTAACAAGGTGCAGCTAGAATACTAAATCGGAAGTCAATGAAGGGCTATGAAGTGGAACCCTTCCAGTTTACTTTAATTCAGAAGTTGCCTCCTCCTTCCTTTCCGCTTCCCCACTCCCAATGCTCAACTCCAGTGCATAGAGGCAGTGCCCATGGACCCTCATTTTTGCACTCTCTTTTTTTTTTTTATTTTTTTTATCTTGGGTCAAGTAAAGCTCAATCTTCTCATAATACTGTTCTTTGTAATCTGTAAGATGGAGGAACATTAGTCTCACAAACTGATCCAAAGCACATTTTAAAAAGTCATTTCAGCATTAAAATTGAGCAACTAGGAAATTCAATTCCACCATTGCAAAGGATCAGAATTGTTAAAGCATTTAGATCCCATAAATTCAACAACAAATACTTGTTCTGTAGAAAACAGAAGCCAGACTAAAACTTAATCTTGTGCATACATTGTACAAAGCATAGCGCTTACTCGACAGCTGTTTGGTGACATCAAAGAAACAGGGCATCGTGTGAGTACTTATCCCTATAGGTAGCATCATGATGATCAAATGCTAAGAACTTGATAGATTTTTTTAAGATTCTGCTGTATTTGAGAATAACACTGAAGAAAGTTATCGTATTTTAGAGGTATTTTATTGTTTTGGTATCTTACACTTCTGACGTGAAATCCATTTTGCTTTCAAATCTTCAATAACAACCACTGCTTCATTAATGCCGTAAGATTTTATTCCATCTTAACTAAGACTTTGCACTTAAAATTAATTGCAGTAGCTAAATAATGAAACTGGCAATAGGTGTTTATAATGAACATGGTGACAGACTACGCTGGAGACACAGACAAAAGAAAATCCCCTACAAAGTGTAAGACTCTTTTCATACTCACCTCTTCTACCTGAAGTAACTGTTCAGGAAGCACACTGGTTTCATTTGCTCTAGTTTCTCCTATTAAAAGCTCCCCACTAGCTTTCTTCAGAACTCCTGCACAGTGTGATAAAAGGGATCAAAGTTAAGATTAATTCTGTAGAAAAGTCAGCAGCCTACAACATCTTCTGATATATCAATATGAAGCATAAAAAACCCTCAACAAGATGTAGGGGAATACTAACGTTATGATAAAGTCAAATTCAGGTTATACACAGTTCCTTTTATATAACATGATGAAATCCACATTCCATTGTATTCATATTTTATACAAATGCACATATAATGTGTAAAATATAGTTTCCTTTGTCATTAATTCATTTTTATACTGATTGTGCAGTCACCTATTCCTAGGGAGAACAGATAACGTTAGAACAGCTGTGTAGAAATTAATTTCTATTCTTTGTTCAATAAATTATATGAATTGCACACTAATGTATTTTTATAGTTTTTACTTATTTGGAAATGCCACTATGGTAAGAATAAAAAGACAGTTAATTAGTACAGTTATTATAAGCAAAATAATGGTGACAGGAACAAGAAAAAGTGAGGCTCCTTAAGAAGGGCTGGTACAAAGCTCACTCATAAATCTTGAAGTAATGGGAATATTGCCCCATTTTTGACAAGGACAAACCAGTATCTGGGGTAGACAACACTTCCATCAGTGTTTCAAGCAATCCAAGAGGTTCCTGGAAGGCACTGATGATAACTTCCTCCTCCACATGATAAGAGAAGCCAACAAGGACAGTTGTTCTGCTGGATCTCATACTCACCAAAAAGAAGGGGCTTCTTGGGAATGCGAAGGTCAAAGCCAGCCTTTGCTGCAGTGACCATGAAATGGTGGAGTTCAGGATTCTGAAGGCAGGGAGGAGGGTGAAAAGCAAGCTCACAACCCTGGATTTCAGGAGAGCAGACTTTGGCCTCTTCAAAGATCTGCTTGGAAGAGTCCCAGGGGATAAGGTGCTTGATGGAAATGAGGCCCAAGAAAGCTGGTCATTATTCAAGGATCACCTCCTCCAAGCTCAAGAGTTGGAAAACAATGACAGGAGGCCTGCACAGATGAACAAGTTGCTTCTAGTCAAACTCAAAACCAAAATAAAGCACAGAGGGTGGAAGCGAGTATGGGTAACCTGGGAGGAATACAGAAACAATGTCTGAGTAGCCAGGGATGAAGTTAGCAAATGCAACTAAATCTGACCAGTGATGTCCAAGACAAGAAGGGCTTTGTAAGTACATAGGTGACAAATAGAAGACTAGGGAAAACGTGGGCCAATTGCTCAACAAGATGGGGGACCTGGTTACACAGGCATGGAAAAGCCTGAGGTACTGAAAGCCTTCTTTGCCTCAGTCTTTACTGCCAAGACCAGTCTTCAGGAATCCCAGGTCCCAGAGACCAGGGGGTAAGGTTGGAGCAAGGACGATGTACCCTTGGCGGAAGAGTATCAGGCCTGGGAATACTTAAGCAAACTGGACATATATAAGACCATGGGCCCTGATGGGATGCATCCACAAGTGCTGAGGGAGCTGGCAGATGTCCTTGCAAGGCCACTCTCAACAGTCTTTGATCAACGATGGCAACTGGAAGAAGTGTCCAAAGACTGGAGGGAAGCAAATGACAGTCCTATCTTCAACAAGGGCAAGAAGGAGGACTCAGGGAATCACAGGACAGTCAGCCTCACCTCAGTTCCTGGGAAGGTGATGGAGCAACTAATCCTGGAAACCATTTCTATTTGAGACAGCCAGCATGGCTTCACCAAGGGCAAGTCCTGCCTGAACAACCTAGTGGCTTTCTACGATGGCGTGACTAGATCAGTGGGCAAGGGAAGAACTACAGATGTGATCTCTCTGGACTTCTGTAAAGCCTTCGACACAGTCTCTCATGACATCCTTCTCTCTAAATTGGGGAGATAGGGAATTGAAGGGTGGACTGTTCGGTGGATGAGGAATTGGCTGGAAGGTTGCAGCCAGAGGGTAGTGGTCAATGGCTTGATATCCAAATGGATGCCGGTGATGAGTGCAGTCCCTCAGGGGTCCATACAGGGACCGGTGCTGTTTAACATTTTCATCAATGACTTAGACTGCAAGATTGAGTGCACCCTCAGCAAGTTTGCAGATGACACCAAGCTGAGTGGTGCAGTTGACATGCCAGAAGGACAGGATGCCTTCCAGAGGGACCTGGATGAGCTGGAGAAGTGGACCTGTCTGAACCTCATGAGGCTCAACAAGGCCAAGTGCAAGGTCCTGCACATGGGTTGGGGCAACCCCTGCTATCAATACAGGGTGGGGGATGAAAGGATGGAGAGCAGCCCTGCAAAGAAGGACTTGGGGGTACTGTTCGATGAAAAGCTTGACATGAGCCACCAATGTGTGGTTGCAGCCCCGAAGGCCAGACA